CTGCCTACCTTGAAGGCGCGGGCGGCGGATCTGCCCTGCCCCTCCTACCACGCCTGCGGACCCCTGGGCCTGATCTGCAGGTTGATCACTGGTCTGCTCACCCTGCGGGCACGGGTGGCGGTTCCGCTCCACCCCCACTCCAATTGGGGTCACGTGACCACCACACCGGCAGGGCCTGATCCGGGCGTGGGATAAGGATCTGCTCTGCCCCTACTCGAGTTGGGGTGACGTGTGTACCACACTGGCAGGCCACTGGGCCTGACCCGCCAGGCTGTCACAGGTCTGTTTACCTTGCAAGCGCGAAGGGCGGCTCTGCCCTGCCCCTCCTACCACGCCCATGTACTACTGGGTCGTGGGTCTGCCCACCTGGCGGGTTTGGGTGGCGGCTCCGCTCCGCCCCCTCTCCAATTGGGGTCACGCGGTCACCACGCTGGCGAGCCGCTGGGCCTGCTCCGGGGGCTGGCGGCGGCCCGGCTCCTTCCCTCTGGCTCGAGGACAAATTGAGGAGACTCGGGTGACTGAGCCTCACCCCCCTTACCAGGAGACCAACTGCTTATGTCACCGCTGGTATTGATGAAGATCTCTCCTCCACCGCTTTCTGCTGACATCAGATCTCTGCCATGTTGGTATCCTATGCGAATGGCAGCATTTCGTTCCCCTTGCCAGGCAACCCAAGCAATGGGTGAGTCCTGACCTGCCCTCAGCAGGACCCGGACCGAGACACAGTTTCCGCGGGCTCCCAGCCCCGGTCCAGGGAAGTTCCGGGAGCCGGAACTCGGCCGCTCCGTGCTCGGTGTAAGCTCCTATAAGTGTAGGCTCCAAGAAGCAGCCCCCGCGGGCTCAGTTCCGGGAGCCGGAATTCGGCCGCCTAGTGTTTGGTGTATGCTCTGATAGTAGCAGGGTCCAAGAAGCAGCCTCCGCGGGCTCCGCAGCCCTGAGCCAGGGCGGTTCCGGGACGGTTCCGGGAGCCGGAACTCGGCCGCTCTGTGCTCGGTGTAAGCTCCTACAAGTGTAAGCTCCAAGAAGCAGTCCCCGCGGGCTCAGTTCCGGGAGCCGGAACTCAGCCTCTTGGTGTTTCGTGTTTGCTCTGATATTAGCAGGGTCCAAGAAGCAGCCTCCGCAGGCTCCGCAGCCCGGAGCCAGGGCGGTTCCGGGACGGCTCCGGGAGCCGGGACTCGGCCGCCCCGCGCTCCGTGTTCACTCCGATAAGATCAGATTTTAAGAAGCCCCCAGGCGCTGAACCCTAGCAATCTGTCTGCAAGCCGCAGGCGAATTGCAGCCTGAAATTACCTGTTCTATGGCTGAATGAGCTGCGGTCAGTCAAAAACAGGTGTGGTGACGTCAGTTTACCAACATGGTGGCTGCTGGCCTCCTCTGTGGTCTGACCGGTGTGGAGAACCGAGATGGACCGCTTCCTTCCCCGTCTCGAACCCAGAATTCAGCCCTGAGTGCGGTGCTTGCGCGTCTGGTAGAAACTGCAGCGCTGTAACCCTGCGTCTCTATCCCAGCGCGCCTTGCAGACTCCAGCCGCGGGGCGATTCGCTGAATAAGCAGTTTTACCCTCCGTGCGACAAACCTCTCGCGTTTGAGTCCCCGTAGCCGATCCTCATGCGATGGAAATCCTTCCTCCAGGTTCCGGCGCACCCCACTATTGCTGGAAATTCCCAACAAGATATCCTTCAGCCGTCCTGACTTGTCACACTCCCACACAGTGAAGCAGCACACGGGGGTAATGCACTCCCCTCGCCGCCATCTCTCTAGGATTTCTGATTGCTTGTTTTTTATAACCTCTATCTCCCTGTATAGTTGATCCTTTGCTTCCTGGATTTGTTTGCGTAATTCGTTGTCGAAGTGATCTTTCATTGTCTGATTTTGCTGTTTAATGTCTTCCTTGATACTCCAGATCATCTGAAGCATGTATATCCTGAACTCTTTATCTGACATTCCATCTGCTGCAGCTGTTACCTCTTCTAAAGTTGCGTTGACCTGCATTGCTTGTGGTCCTTTCTTTCCTTGTCTTTTCATACTGCTTGCATATCTTTCCTGCAGGTGCGGGCGGCGGCTCTGCTCTCTCCTTATTCCAATTGGGGTGTCGTGGCTACCACGCTGGCAGGTCACTGGGCCTGATCCACGGGTCGGTTGCAGGTTTGCCTACCCTGCAGGCGCGGGCGGCGGCTCTACTCTGCCCCTACTCCAAATGGGGTGACGTGTCTGTCGTACTGGCAGGCCACTGGGCCTGTCCCGCTGGTCGGTCGCAGATCTGCCCACCTTTCAGGCACGGGTGGAGGCTCTGCTCTGCCCCTACTCCAATTGGGGTGTCGTGACTACCCCGCCTGCAGGACGCTGGGCCTGTTCCTGGCACGGGCGGCGACTCTGCTCTGTCACTACTCCAATTAGGGTGGTGTTTGTTCCACGCCGGCAGGCTCCTGGGCCTGATCCGCCAGTCTGTTGTAGGTCTGCCTACCTTGGAGGCGCGGGCGGCGGATCTGCCCTGCCCCTCCTACCACGCCTGCGGACCCCTGGGCCTGATCTGCAGGTTGATCACTGGACTGCTCACCCTGCGGGCACGGGTGGCGGTTCCGCTCCGCCCCCACTCCAATTGGGGTCACGTGACCACCACACCGGCAGGGCCTGATCCGGGTGTGGGAGAAGGATCTGCTCTGCCCCTACTCCAGTTGGGGTGACGTGTGTACCACACTGGCAGGCCACTGGGCCTGACCCGCCAGGCTGTCACAGGTCTGTTTACCTTGCAAGCGCGAAGGGCGGCTCTGCCCTGCCCCTCCTACCACGCCCATGTACCACTGGGTCGCGGGTCTGCCCACCTGGCGGATGTGGGTGGCGGCTCCGCTCCGCCCCCTCTCCAATTGGGGTCACGCGGTCACCACGCTGGCAAGCCGCTGGGCCTGCTCCGGGCGCTGGTGGCGGCCCGGCTCCTCCCCTCTGGCTCGAGGACAAATTGAGGAGACTCGGGTGACTGTGCCTCACCCCCCCTACCAGGAGACCAACTGCTTATGTCACCGCTGGTATTGATGAAGTTCTCTCCTCCGCCGCTTTCTGCTGACATCAGATCTCTGCCATGTTGGTATCCTATGCGAATGGCAGCATTTCGTTCCCCTTGCCGGGCAACCAAAACAACGGGTGAGTCCTGACTGGCCCTCAGCAGGACCCGGACTGAGACGCAGTTTCTGCGAGCTCCTAGCCCCGGTCCAGGGAAGTTCCGGGAGCCAGAACTCGGCCGCTCCGTGCTCGGTGTAAGCTCCTATAAGTGTAAGCTCCAAGAAGCAGTCCCCGCGGGCTCAGTTCCGGGAGCCGGAATTCGGCTGCTTAGTGCTTGGTGTATGCTCTGATAGTAGCAGGGTCCAAGAAGCAGCCTCCGCAGGCTCCGCAGCCCTGGGCCAGGGCGGTTCCGGGACGGTTCGGGAGCCGGAACTCGGCCGCCCCGCGCTCGGTGTTCGCTCCGATAAGATCAGATTCTAAGAAGCACCCAGGCGCTGAACCCTAGCAATCTGTCTGCAAGCCGCAGGCGAATTGCAGCCTGAAATTACCTGTTCTATGGCTGAATGAGTTGCGGTCAGTCGAAAATAGGGAAGGTGACGTCAGTTTACCAACATGGTGGCTGCTGGCCTCCTCTGTGGTCTGACCGGTGTGGAGAACCGAGATGGACCGCTTTCTTCCCCCGTCTCGAACCCAGAATTCAGCCCTGAGTACAGTGCTTGCGCGGCTGGCAGAAACTGCAGCGCTGTATCCCTGCGTCTCTATCCCAGCGCGCGCTGCAGACTCTAGCCGCGGGGCGATTTGCTGAATAAGCAGTGTTACCCTCCGTGCGACAAACCTCTCGCGTTTGAGTCCCTGTAACCGATCCTCGTGTGATGGAAATCCTTCCTCCAGGTTCCGGAGCACCCCACTATTGCTGGAAATTCCTAACAAGATATCCTTTAGCCGTCCTGACTTGTCATACTCCCACACAGTGAAGCAGCACACGGGGGCAATGCACTCCCCTCGCCGCCATCTTCCTCTCCCTTTCCACGCGGCCAGCTACTTTCAAGTTGTTTAAATCTTTGCTTGCATGATAAAATAGCTTCTCTCTGTTTTAATTTACTTTTATTTGATTGCTATTTATGGTTAATTATCTTTTCATCTGCTAAAAGTTTTATTTTTTGTTTTGTTTGTTTACCACTTTTCTATGGAGTATTCAATTTTATTATTGATTCATAAGGGCTTTTTATGCAAAAATTTATTATGTAGGTTGCAAAACCTATTTCCAAGTTTTTCATTCACCTTTTAAAATTGTGACATTTTGAGATATAGAGGTTTAAACTTACCCTCAGTGCTATGATCATTTCTTGTACAGTTTCTGATGCTTGAACCATGCTTAAAAAAGACCTTTACTGAAGGATGATATAAATATTTTCTTAATCTGTCTATTAGTACTTTTATAGTCTCATTTTAACTTTACATTTTAAAATGATCAGGAGTTAATTTTTGTGTAGGGGATTAGGTAGTTTTCCCACGTTAGCCAGGTTATCCTGGCATTAATTATTAAGTCATCCATCCAGAAAGAGGCTGACTGGCTAGCTTGCTTCCTTTTTTCTCAGAAAACATCCCTTCTCTCTCTGTTGCTCCTGTATTTCTAGAGAGAAATAGCTGAGACTGGTGTGTGTGATTGAAAGCAGAGAAGAAACCAGGGAATTTAAATTCTAAATAGGTCTAGAAGTACTGTACAACATCCCAGAATCCACCTCTGATAGTTCTATACAATTTTGTGAGTAGACCAACATGTTTATTCCCACTAAGTTTCTAGGTAGAAGTGAGAATAAGAAGATAACTCTGTCAAGGTTTGGGAGCATAATCCTGGTTTCACTGGATTTATAACTTTGTGCCTATCAGCATTAAAGGGGTAAATGGACTTAGTGAACCTGAAGAATTTATTTCTTCATGATTATATAGTATTTTAAATGATCATATTAAGTCTCAATTTAAAACTATTTTTCTCCTTTTAGGACAGAACCATATATTTTTCCTCCTGTTCCTTCTAAGTACCCAGTCATCCCTTCAAAATCTACTGTGGGCACTCAGACTGACTATAGGGATGCTGATGTTCAAACAGATCCATACTCTCCAGAATATGTAGTATGCCAAGACACGATCCCTGAGCTCTTAACCCTGGCTACTCTGACTTGGGGTAAGTTAGTAATTCTCTTGAATATTTGAAGATGACAGTACAATCACCATTCATACTATTGAGTTCTTGAAAATTACACACATACAGGCAACTCTGGTTTATAGAGTGAAGAGATAACCCACAGGTTGAGAGAAAATATTTATAAATCATATATTGGATAAAGAGCTAATATTCAAAATATACAAGGAACTCAAACTATTTAATAACTAGAAAATAATAACCCTATTAAAAAGTGGGCAAAGAACTCTCTATATATTTCTCAAAAGAAGACATACAAGTGACCAACAGATATGTGAAAACAATGAAGACGAATTCCAGAATGAAACATGCAGAGGTAAAGCAAGGAAAAAGAGTCATGGGAAATGGCATTATAAGCTTCAGAAAGTGAGAACAGAGGGAATGATAAAGAAGCAATGCAGGAAAAAATAATGGCTCAGAATTTCCCAGAACTGCAGAAAGATATGATCCCTCACAAAGAAAAATTACACTGAGTACTGAGAAGGATAAACATTTAAGAATTCACATCTACTACTTACAGAAGAAAAAAAATACAAAAACTATTAGAGAAAAAAGAGAGATTATCCACAAAGGGATAAAACCAGGTTGATATTTTGTAATATTAATATTCAAGATATGGTAAGCAGATAATTATAGGTCTAGAACTTTTTACCAACCAAAATATTATTAAGAAATGAAGGTGGAGGGGCTGGGGATGTGGCTCAAGCGGTAGCGCTCTCGCCTGACATGCGTGCGGCCCAGGTTCGATACTCAGCACCACATACAAACAAAGATGTTGTGTCCACCGAAAAACTAAAAAAATAAATATTAAAAAAATTCTCTCTCTCTTAAAAAAAAAGAAATGAAGGTGGAATAAAGAATTTTTCATACATAATAAAACTATTTTATAGAGTATTACGAGGATTAAATAAATTCATTTATGGAATATGCTCATGCCTACACCCAGAAATTTCCTAGGTGCTTATCAAAGAAAAGTGAACACATAATTTTAATAGAAATCCATGTGTGTTCACCAAAAGACATGTACCAAAGAGTTCATGGTACACTATTCATAATAACTCCAAAATGAAAACATTCCAAATGTCTGACAACCATAGAATGAATGAATGAATGAATAAAATATAGTACATTCTACACAATGGAATACTATATAGTAATGAGAATAGAAAGTACAATTATATATAACCACCTACGTGAATCTCTTATATATAGTGCTGAACAAAATAAGTAAGATGGAAAAGAGCACCTACATTGTGATTCCATTCACATCAGACTCAAAACCAACCACAACTAAAGTAAGTTGTTAGGCATGAGGATGGCAGTTCTCTTGGGGCAGGTAGATGCTGGGAAGGGGGTCTGATGGGTACTTTATACGGTTTGGGTAATATTGCATTCCTTGATCTGGGTGCTGGTTATATGAGATGCTCATTTTTCACCTTTCTGTACTTGTGATATGCATTAATAAAAAGTTTATAAGAAGATAAATGAAAGAAAACATAGTGAAAAAGGATATCCCTAAGGACAAAAACTGAGTGCTTATTACTATGTACCAAAAACAGTGGCAGGTGCTTTACATTTCTAACTTATTTAATTCTCACGGCTTAAGTAAATAATGAAGTTAAAATCAGAAATTAATAATACAGAGCTTTAAAAAAGGCAAAAGAAATGCTTGTTGGGACCATAAGGGAATTTTTTGATAAAGTCTAATAATATAGCCAAGCCTCTTGTAGGAAGCATCAAGGAAAATACGATGCAAATACAGAGTGTTAGATTTGAAAGGGAGACATTACTACGGAGTAAATGATGTAAGAAATGTAAGATAATAATAGGAATATCTTTTGCTGTGTTTTTAAAAACAGACACAATAATTAAATAAAATATAAATTACTAAGTTGATTTCAAGAATAGATGAGTAACTAAAGAAAATACTTGCTAAGAAGGAAAAAATATATTTTTAAGAGCACCAGGCCCAAAGAGTTTTGCAGGTATTTGCCACTCTTTCAAGGATCACATAAACTCTTGTTCTTGCAGATTCCTCGTCAAAGAGAGAAAGAATAAAAGTTAATTTATTCATTTTATGAAGCTAGTTTAGATTTGATTTGAAAATTGAATAAGGACAGTACTGGAAGGGACAATTACAGCCAATCTTAGGTATAAAGAAATATGCAGAAAATTCTAGATAACATACCAGCAATCAAATTTTGCTATATTTAGGCAAGGTGTGATGGCACATGCCTGTAATACCAGCAGCTTGTGAGGCAGAGGCAAGAGGAACACAAGTTCAAAGCCAGCCTCAGCAAAAGCGAGGCACTAAGCAACTCAGTGAGACCCTGTCTCTAAAGGAAAAACAAAACAGGGCTGGAGATGTGGCTCAGTGGTCAAGTGCCCCTGAATTCAATCCCTGGTTATACCCACCCCCCCAAATTTTTCTGCTATATTTTAAAAGGGTCACTTCATAACCAAGCAAAATTCAAGTTTTTGCAGTTTCAGAAAACCAACCATATTATTTATAATTTTAATAGAAAATATAGGAAAAATGCTTCATTGGATGCAGAAAAAGTATTTGATGACATTCAGTGCTCATTCATGATGCAAACTCAAAATAAATTGGGAGCAGAGGAAATTTAGAAATGTAATAAAGAGCATCTACTGCAGCCTTTAGTAAACAAAATACCAAAGGCAAAACTCTAGAAGCTTTATTCTCAAAGTAAAGAAAGAGGACACTCTATCTCCACCATTACATAGCAATGTGTAGAGAAGATCCTAGCATACAGTTTAGCGAGCTGGGCTATGATCCCTCCCTACCCAGGGACATTTAGAAGTATGGGTGGCATTTTTTTTTAATGTAATAATGATTAGGAAGTGCTGCAGGCATTTAACATATGGAATGGGCTGTAGAAGAAATTTAGCACTGACACTAAACATCCTGTACCTCATGGGATTGTCCCATACAAGAAGTCATTGTCTGCCCAATCTGGCAATAGCACCCTGATTGAGACGCAAGGAGTCAATGCAATAAGGTAAGAGAAAAAAGAAATCAGTTATGAGGATTTGAAAGAAGCAGCAAAACTATTATTTGCAGACAATGTACTTGTTTGGAAACCCTAGTAAAATCAATGATCAGAACAAGAAGAGCGTTCCATGAGGTAGCTGGTTATGAAATCAACATACAAAGACAAGCAAGCTTCCTGTATGAGAATAATATCTAATTGGCAAAATTATTGGGAAAAAATCACATTCATGAGAGAAACAAATGACAATGTACCTAGGGAATTATTTAATAAATATATTAAAGCATTTACAGAGAAAATTATAAATTGTTCTTTAAGCTCAAAAACAACGATTTGATTACAACAGAGACACACCATGTTTATGAACAGAAAAACTCATGCTCAAATAGATTTGATTTCTTTTTTGAACCATTTATACCTTCAAGAAATTCTAATTCAAATTCCTATTCCCAATATAACTGTAAATGTAAATTTACATTTTTCTCTTCTCTTTCCCTAAATTATATAAAAGCAACAAGGACAACAAAACTCCCACAAACTCCGCTTTCAGTGAAAGTAAAAATTATGTATACTCTATGAACTACTAAATATTTGTAAGGACTGCAAAAAGCAACCGAGATTAGGCAGAAGCAATGTGGGAGGAAGTGAGGAACTTGGAGTCGGGGAATCTCAGAAAGCATGAGCAAAAATATACTTCCTGTGGGTAAATTTGGCAGTATCCAGGATTAAAATGCTCATATTTTATGATTTGACTGCCAGACTCTAGCATTTCCACTTCTAAGAATCCTAGAGAAACTCACACGTGGGCACAAGGAGACCAGTAAGGAGTGCTTTCTGTGGCATTGTGCATAATCAAAAAATTAGAAGCAGGGTTGGGGTTGTAGCTAAGTGGTTAAGTGTTTGCCTAGCATAGGCTTCTATCCTCAGCACCACATAAAAACAAATAAATAAAATAAAGGTTAAGTTCTTAAAAAAATAGAAGCAATCTAAATGTCCATCAGCTTAAATTGTAATGAAGTCCTAGATCTCTGTAGATCAGTATGGTTAAGCCCCTAAAACAAAGTTGAATTTAAAAAAAAAAAAGCATGTTTCAGAATGATACATCATGTAGTACAAGCTGATGTATATAAAAATTAAATTTAAAAGTAATATAAATTTTATTTATACATAGTTCATTTTTGGCTAATATTTGAGCCAAATCTGGTTTCTGGTTCATATTTGTTTTTTGTTGGAGAAAGAGTGCCCTGGAGTGCGTAAGAACATGAAGCTCACACAAAGCTTAGACTGCCGTCTTCAGATCCTCATTTCTGCTTCTTACCAGCTCTGATCTTGTGCAAGTTACTTCTCCTTTGACCCCTCAGTCTCTTCACTTGTAAGATAGGAGTAATGTATTTATATGGTAGGGATTTATGGAGGATTACATGAATTAAAACAGTGCTTGGTATATTTTAAATGCTTTTATATAGCAAGATATAGATATATAAATCTGAATACAAAATACTAAGATTGACTGGAAGGAGAGTCCCAGATTTCTTTTTGTGTTTACTCTGGGAAAAAGGCATTGGGGCTTGATATGTTGGTAAACTTTATTTTTAATGTCTTTGGCTAAAACAGGTAAAGTATATGAGACAAAATGTGTATGCGGTTGTTAAATCTGAGTATTTAAGGTTTTATTTTCATGCTCTTTATTTTCTAAATTACTAAAGAAAACTCCACACAAAATACACAAATTATATATTATGTGTATTTAAACATGTATATGTATAATTTTGCACATGGGTTTACTAGTTTCTTTATACACACCCATAAAACTAAAAATGAATTGATAATATATATACTCATTGTGATTTCTTCTAGAAATGAAGGGGCAGAAATATAGAACTTTATTATTTTCTATAATATCCTAATTTTAAAACCAAGAGAGAGTAAATTCACATATTACATATATACAAGTATAAATATAACAAAAGATTTGAACAAATAAAGCAGAAATTTTATAATAGTTTATTATATTTAGTAGAAATAGAACTTGTTATTTATTTCTTTATAATTGTTTTTAAATGACAATAAAACAAAGGTTATTGGGGTTCAGTGATCAAATAGGAAACTTGTTCTAGTCTCCATTTTCTTTATCAATTTTTGGTCCCAGAAAGATGATGGAGTAAATCATATTTAGAGGTGCTCTCCACATCTTAGGGCTCGGTTATGAGCAAGAGGCAATGCAGGGTACCAACAGCACAAGCCTAGTGGCACATCTAGAAGGCATTCCTGTGTCATCGGGTCCTGTCATAACCCTTGAATTTAGGGAAGAAGCTAGGAACTGAAAGGGAGTAAATGATACACTGGCAGAGCGTGGGCTTGCTCACTGGTTTCTAAGGTGGGATGTTTCACCCTCCAGGTCGAGGTCTCCCAGCAGGACAGGCTGAGGTGGAGATGATAGAACGAGCCAGGGAGAAGCGTGCTTGGGAGGCCACTCTTCCCCCTCTGGGTGACATCCGCCAGTTTGAGAAGAGGAGGAAGATGATGAATGTGATGGAGAGGAAGGAGTGGGCCTTCAGAGAGCAGGAGATTGAAAAGTATGTTACCTACCATCAGACAGCTACCCTGCACTGATGGAAGTTATGTTTGGACTTCTTTTAATCTGTAAATCAATTTCCCAAATGCCGGCTTCTAGAAGCAATCTCAACCTATGGAGATAAGAAGTGGGGTTTCTCATTCTTTCAGGAGCAATCGCTGCCTCCTGATGTGGTGTAGGAGTTCTCTATAAATTTCTCTCCAGTAACATGAAAAGGTCTACCCTCCTGATTTGTGAAGTTCAGCATGGAACTCAGATTTCAGCAACTCCTTCAGAGCATCTCTGATCCTTCTTTCTTTCTTTTATTTACTTATTTTTTTTTTTGTATCTATCATCTAGACTGTTACAGAATGCCACTGATTTCTGCAAAGCGTCTTTCAAACTATCCCTTTGTGTTCATTCATAGTGCCACTGTCCCTAGGCTTCGGCCCTATTCATATCCACTGACCAGCCTCCCAGGAGTTCTGTCCTATACTCCCCTGACACTGGATTTGCAGTCAGGATGCAAATAGGCTATAGGCATTTCTGATTTGAAAGGAAGAATTGAAATGCTTCTATTAAAAGATGAGCATACATGATGATATGCATAAACAACATTATGCCAAGGCACTTCAGTCATTTTAACTGACATAGTTTTGGTAATGAGGTTATTGTTGACATGTAGAAATGATGAGAAATTATTAGCACCAAACTCCCTAACAAGCAAAAAAGGAAGGGTACTTGCAAGTCAAGGGTATCCTTCATTGTAAGCCATGCTGAAGCACTTACTGAAGCACTTATTCATAGCGATGCTACCAAGGCCCCTTACATACAAGGGAGTTAGGGACCAGAAAGCTAGGGAATCAGCTTGGTGGTAAACTCAAAATGTGTTTTTTTTTTTTCTTCTGCAACACCTTCTTAATAACCCTGAATCCAGACTATGTGATATTTTGGTAAAAGCTTGCAATTTAATAGAAAATAGTATTTGGGGCAAAGTAGGTATCAAACTACCCAATCTTATCTGCAAAAACTTAAATTTATAGCTCTACTTTGGAAAAGAATGTCTTTTCAGAAGAAATTAAAAATATTAAAAATTTATCTGGCCAGAGTAAAGGCATCACTTGAGAGAAGGTAAGTACTTCTGTTATACTGAGGACAGTTTTAATAAACATATTTTGAGTCCCTCCTATGTTCTGGGCACTGTGCTATGAGATGGGGGAACAGAATGACTGGGAAACTGCTGGGCCCAACAGAGCTCCTTATAGTCTCCTGGGGCTAGAGAGGAGGAGTGTGGGCAGAGGATGAGACAAAAGATCTCAGATGGCCGGGCATGGTGGTGCATGCCTGTAATCCCAGCAGCTTGGGACGCTTAGGCAGGAGGATCATGAGTTCAAAGCCAGCCTTGGCAATAGGAAGGCACTAAGCAACTCAGTGAGACCCTGTCTCTAAAGAAAATACAAAATAGGGTTGGGGATGTGGCTCAGTGGTCTAGTGTCCCTGAGTTCAATCCCCGGTACCAAAAAAAAAAAAAAAAAAGACCTCAGACCAACACCTCTCAGGTATATTCTACCAGTGATGTGCTTCCCTCTATACCTAGTGCTAGGGGAATCCACGTGAGAGAACAGTTCGTTGTGTTTGAGATGGGTGATTTGGATAAGGTAGCTGCTGAGCTGGGTGTTGAAGGATGAGTAGGAAACCATCAGGTGGATGGTAATGTCGATGATGATGTTGATGATGATAGTTAGAGAGCAAGTAACACTATATAGTATTCTTACAATGGGCCCGGCAGTGTTCTATGTCAGTGGTTCTCAAAGTGTGTTTTATAGATCAGAAACATCAGCATTACTTGGAAGTTTGTTAGAAATGCAGATCCTCAGGCCCCATCCCAGACCTACTGGATCAGAGGTGGGGCCAGCAATGTGAGTCCTACCAAGCCCTCCAAATTATTCTGGAGAACAATTAGGTTTGAGGACTACTCTTCTAGCACTTTGTAAACATTGACTCATTTAAAGCTCACAACAACCTTATGAGCTGGATACTATTATCTCCCTTTTGCACTTGAAGAAACTAGGTAAAGTGGTGAGGTTGAAAAGTGGACCTAGTAGCCATGGAGTGCTTCAGTGTGGGAGGTATTCTGAGAAATGTGTGCTTAGGTGACTTCATCCTTGTGTGAACATCACAGACAGTGTTTAGACAAAGCAGATGGCAGGCTCATCATAGTGTGGCTCTTTGATGAAATCAAGAGAGGTGCTAAATGGGAGATGTGTGGGGATGCTTCCTGCATAGCACAGCATACGGTCTTACAGTAAACTGAGTTTTTAGAAGGAGTACACCTTAAACTAATGATAAAAATATAGTAAGCACATAAATCAGTAACATCATTGTTTATTGATATTATCAAGTCCTATACATAATTGTATGTGCTGTGCTTCTATATGGCCGATGCACTGTAGGGTTGTTTACACCAGCATCATTTAATATGTCGTGCTGTGATGTCGCGATGTCTGTGGCATCACTGGGTGATAGGCGCTTTTCAGCTCATTATGGTCCCATGGGAGCACCACAGTAAATGGGTTCATCCTTGACGTAAGAGTCGTTATGCAGAACATGACTATTTCTCACTCTAGAGAGAAATGTGGCAGCTGGCGTGTGTCTTATTTTTAAAAGTGTCTGTCTCTCCATACTCATTTGTCATTCCTGCCTCACCCTCCCACATGCACTCACTCTAAGAAGCTCTGCTGGTTGACATGTTTGTGCTCTCTGGGCCTTTTGGCTGAGCCCTAGCTTCTCCCTTGTCTACGTGGCAGACCCCAAACCTCATTTATCCCCCGTGCTCTGCTGCTGACTTGATACTTTCACAAGGAAGCCTTCCCATCACCCCTTTCTCGCCCTTGTTTGTCTTTCTTCTCCCCCAGAGGTCTTTTTATTCTTCTAGCCTGGAATTTATCTCCTTGTTGTACATGTTGGTTTCTAGGCCTCTTCTGGAACACAGTGCTTCTTGAACAGAATCTTGTCTTGCACGTCATTGTCTCTGGCCTCCTGTATGATGGGCACTTGTTAAATATTTGACAAATGAATGAAAGAATAATTTAATGCATGAGTTTTTAAGTAGGAGTAAAATGTGCTTTCAGAGCTCTGTTTTAGGAAAGTGAACCTTGACATCTATGTGGGACAAAGTTTGGAAGGAGGAGAGACTAGCTGCAAGGAGTCCCAGTTAGGAGAGAGAATACGAACACGAACAAGGGAATGGATGCAAAAATGGTTGGAGGAGGGATCATTGGCAGAGGGAAGAAGATGTGAGGAAAGGGGTAGATTTCTGGGGGAACAAAATGAGTACCTTTTTTTTTTTAAGATAGTCAAGGGACAGCAGGAATTTAAGCAAAGTCTGGTTCAGAAATATCTGAGCAGTCATCTGTACAGAGTTGGACACTCTAGGAGAACACTTACATGCAAAGGGAGGGGAGCAGACTTATTGAGTACCTACTATGTACTGGACACTGGCATTTTCAGATTCGCACCTCATCTTCTCTCCACTCCCCCATTACTTAATCTTCCAGCAATACCACTCAATCTGGAACTGTCCAGACCTCTTGTTCCTGTAGGTCCATCTGCCCATAGACCCCACCTACCATACTGTTTTTCATCCTTCATAACCATCCCCACACATTGTGATTAGATTCACCCTTAAGTTCCTCCCCTTTTCCCTCAAGTCATTCATCACACTTTTCTAGAGTGATCTTTTAGAAAAGTCTATGAAGACGATGCCCATGGACAAGATCCCATCTGTGGCAACTGTTCATGTGCTCTCTAGTAGAAACACATATTTGGAATACCATGAACTTATTAATGCTCTGTAATTTATTTGAAGACTGCAGGACTTTCGCCTGGAAGTTTTAAAAGAGCTGCTGAGGAGGCGTGAAGAGCGTCAAAATGAACTGGACATGAAGCACTTGAATGCCCAGTGGAGTAAACTGCAGGAAGCAAAAGAAGCCAAACTGGCCCAAATCCATCGCACACATATATCAAGTAATGGTGTAGTATGATGACGGGAGAAAATGGAAAGGGGGCTTTGCTCTCTGATTTAGCTATGATAAAGTTCTCTTTGCATCCTAGTGTTATCAGATAGGTAAGGGATGAGAGATGAGTTATTTTTCAAAGGTAGAAGGGTATCCCTCTCTACATCAAGTGACCACATACTAATAGATAGTTAAGTTGTTGATGTTATAGAGGGGGTGAGTGTTGGTTCCTCATATTGATGTCCAAGGCCCTGGATCGAGAATCCTATTGCTCCACTTTTTTTTGTCATTATTGTCCCCTAAAAATGAACTTTAAGATACATTTTTTCCCTAATCACACCTCTCCAAGAAATTTTAATACCACTGACATCTTGAATATATGTTTATGTTCTACAAATGTATTTGTACTTCATGTACAAAAATAGGAAATGTACACCTTACTCTTTATTCAATGCAGAATTAAGAATTACTTGGGCTGGGGCCATGGCTCAGTGCCTAGCATGCATGAGGCACTGGGTTCTATCTTCAGCACCACATAATAATAAAATAAAGATATTGTGCCCACCTATAACTAAAAACTAAATATTTTAAAAAAAGAATAAAAAATTCAAGTGAAAAATTTTAAATTATTAACATTTAATGGTAAAGCTTTACTTACTGAAAAACTGTTAATGTCATTTATTAAAAATTCTATCACCTCCATATGCAAATTAGCAACTGATATATATATACAAGTAACAATCACATTTTAGAAAATAATTCAAAACTACTAGTTTTCTAACAAAAGTTAAACAATTACAAAAATCAAATTACTGCTTAAAATTATTTTGGTGAATTTAAATTCCTTTTTTTTTTTTTTTTTTTGTAGTGCTGGGGATTGAACAAGCAAGCACTCGACCAACTGAGCTATATTCCCCAGCCCTTCCCTAATTCCTTTTTTTTATTTTAAAAGAGAGAGTGTGAGAGAGAATTTTTTAATATTTATTTTTTTAGTTCTCGGTGGACACAACATCTTTGTTTGTATGTGGTGCTGAGGATCGAACCCGGGCCGCACACATGCCAGACGAGCTCGCTACTGGTTGTGCCACATCCCCAGCCCCCCTAATTCCTTCTTGGATGTGAAAAAGTAACTTTTAAGTTACAACTAGATATTCATTTAGTTATTGTTAACCTTTTGTTCTTTTCAGTACTTGAATAACTAGTGAAGTATTTGACTCATTTTGTAGATAAGTAATAAAATATAAACTATTTTTACTTAATTCTAAAACTCGAAGTCCCACACAAAAGCACTAATGATTAAACAGACAATAAATATGCTCAAGGCAGAGACATCATATGATTTACACCTTGGGGGTGCACCTGGAGCCATTTAAAGGGAGTGGATCTGTGAAGAAAGGAAAAGAGCAGGTGGAAGACAGTGAGCATGACCCCTGAGCTGAGAATTCTCCTAATGGGCACCGGTGAAACTTTCCCCTTTGACTGCCAAACAAGTCTGAAAGCTATTAACAGAGTCATCTTCTGGTTATTCTGATGTTAGCTAAGATGAACCTGTAATCCTCTCTTTTGTCTTGTAGGGGAGAGTAAGTCTCTAGCACTCACTGAACCTCTTTTCCATTTACTTTGGATTTCCCTCATTTAACAAACTTTTATGGAAAACGTCTTGGCCCAAATCTTTTAAAAGCTTGCAGTTATAAAAGATTTTTGATTAGTACGAGTTGACAACTAGCTGATTCGGCTCCTGTCACTCCTGCCTATCTCATGGCAGACCTGTCTTTAGTGTCACATTCTGGCTCTAGTGAATCATCCTGAAATTCATTCAGTTCAGTAGCTTTCCAATGAATAAAACTAGAATAGTTTACTATTTTTCATTTTTAATTCAGAACAATATTTTGGAGAGAGTCATGTAGGTATGTTTTATTTCAGCAATCAGAAAGCTTGAAGGAAAGGGAAAGAATATAGAAGGGAAACTGAAAAAAAGAGATATCATCAAGGATTATTCTGATTATGCATCACAGGTCTATGGACCTCTATCTCGCCTTGGCCGTTTCCCAGACAACAACTCAGAGGACTTTGTAGTAAAAAACTACTATCTCAACACCTATGAAGGTAAACAATTTGCATAATTATAAGTCTATTATAAGAGGGTTATCTTGGACATGTGGATTAAATATATAAATTTAGACTAAAAACTAAACAATAAAAAATATTTGTAGGAAACAGCAATGAACAGATTTAATGTGATTATTAATATAAATTCATACAAACCAATATAAACTCTTAAGACACAAATGAATATATGGACACACTATAGAACATTTTAACAAGGTAAATTCAACTAGCTACTAAATGTTTGAAAATGTTTAATATCGTTAATAATCAAAGTTATGCAAAAATTAACTAGAAAAAAACTTTTATAGCAGGTTTATGAAACAAACAAGACTTTAATAATGAATCAACCTGTAAGAAAGAAATGTCAGAAAACTAGAGGGCAAAGGGATGGGTGGTCAGGTGGTAAATTCACAGAGAGGATGGTTTCTTTTCTGAAGTTTAAGAGGCTTATTTAAATTGTTTAAATTTGAGTTGACAAGTTGAAGCATCGTGTGGCCAAGATCATGAGTTGATCATCACACTGTTGAACTTTAGCTCTGACTGGCCATTTCCAGAGGAGAATATGACAATGTGAGAGAGATGAACATTCTCTTTAGAGTGGTGGCAACATGTATTTTAGCATTTTTGATTTTCTGTTGATAGTAATGGAATTTATTGTTCCTTTGTAGGGTAACATTGTTATTTTAGAATACATTTCTTATTTTATAGTTCAAGACACTGAGAACATGCGTTAATTACACAGAATCGTGCTTACCATTTCAAGGGCAGTTCATTCTATTATATGAGTACAGCTCATCAACACCTCCAACAAAATCCGTTTTAATTTTACTAAAATTAAAAATATTCATTTGAAATGGTAAATTTAAGCACTAGATACTAAAAACGTGTGCTTCCTTCCCATAGGATTAATTGAACTTGAATCAAGTCTTCCAGATTTTGTGACACAACCGAGAATCAGAACTCCAAAACCAAAAGTCGGTACCACTAAATCTGGTTTTCTGAAGAGGGCAGCAAGACTGGACTATGAGTTGGCAGAGGTTCATAAGGTATCATTGTGATCTGGAAGACAAGAGGCTTCTAGTGAGAATTCTGCAGAAAAATGCTTTAGCCTAATTTGTACTTTGTTTGGCGCGGTGTTGAGCAGGGGGTCTAATGTAGGACCTCATGTTCTTTTCTCCTCGCTAGACTTTTCTCTTCTGGGGGTTTCCCCTGATGTGCCAAACCCATGTGCTTTCCTCCCCTCACTTCAAAATGAAAGAAAACTTAGAAGTTATTCTCCCCATTTAGAGAACTCACGTTCCTTTCTGAAAAATTTCAAATTTGGATCTATAAAACAAAATTTGACACTTTACTGAGGAATAGCAAATTTCTAGGATTAGTAATAACTCTTGGTGTTAATAGTTGCAAAAGGCTCCATTTTCTCCACTTTATAATTGTTACCAGGGCATCATGAATATAAGGAGGCATCATGAATAAAAGCAGGCATATTCAACAACTTTCTCATTTAGATGAGAGAGTTTGATGGCCATCAAACTTTAGTATGCATCAGAACCATGTGGGAGGCTTGTTGAAACATGTTGCTGCCCCCCACCCCCCATTTCTGCTAGGTAGGTTGGGGTGAGGCTCCTGGAGTGCTGGCATTTTTTTAAAAAACAAGTTTCCAGTTGATGCTGATGCTCCAGGCCCAGGAAACACACTTTGGGACCCATTGGTTTATGATGTGCACCCATCACTAGTCCATGCATGTTTGTTCCATTGATTTCAGTAATAAGAGTCCATGGGAACCCAGGCTCAACATACAAATAGGACCTTGACAATGATGTATGTATCTATGAGGTTCTTTCTCATCTATTTCCCCTGTCTACTTTTACCTATGTAGAATACTGCGTTCACCATATGCTCACTTTATATAAGAATGTGTTTTCTTTTATTAGAGCTTAATCATTATACATAGTAGTTGGGTTCATCCTGTCAAACTCATGCCTGCATGGAAATTGATTTCAGCTCATTATCCCCTCTTTTCTTTCCCCCTTTTCCCTCCCGTCCTTTCCCCTCTCCCAGTCTCCTTTCTCTACTATACCAGACTTCCTTTTGTTCATCTATTTATTTGATTGATTCTTTGTGTTATCCTACCCTTCCCTTGTTCTTCCCTTTATTTTACTCTAGCTTCTGCGTTTGAGAGAAAGTATTCAACTTTTGAGTTTCTGAGTCTGGCTAATTTTTCCTAGTACAATATTCTCCATTTCCATCTACTTACCTGCAAATGCCATAATTTTATTCTTTTATTATGACTGAGTAGAACTCCGTTGTATACATATATATATGCACACACACACACACACACACACACACACACACACACATATATATATATATATATATATCTATCTATCACATTTTCTTAATTCATCCATCTATCTATTAATGTGCATCTGGGTTGATTCTATAACTTAGCCATTGTGAATTGTGCTACTATAAATATTGATGTGACTATTTTGCTATATACCCTGATTTTACATCTTTTGGGAAAATAACAAGGAGTGAGACAGCTGGGTCATATGGTGGTTCCATCCCTAGTTTTTTGAGGACTCTCCATACTGATTTCCAGAGTGGTTTTACTAGTCTGCAGTCCCACCAACAACGTACAAGTGTACCATTTCCCCCCACAACCTCACCAGCATTTATTACTGTTTGTTTTCTTGATCATTTTCATTCTGACTAGAATGAGATGAAATTTTAGTTTAGGTTTGATTTGCATTTCCTTGATTGCTAGAGATGTTGGAACATTTTTTCACTTATTTGTTAGCTGTATGTGTAGGTCTCTTCTTTTGAGAAGTTTCTGTTTCATTCTTTTGTTCATTTATTGATTGGGTTATTTGGTTTTTTGGTGTTAGGTTTTTTGAGTTTTTTGTGGGTTCTGGATATTAATACCCTATTGGAGGAGTAGCTGGCCAACATTTTCTCCCATACCGTAGGCTCTTTCTTTTTGCTCTTAGTCATTTCCTTTGCTGAACAGAAGCTTTTTAGTTTGATGGCATCCCACTTATTGATTATTGGTTTTATTTCTTGTGCTTTGGGGGTCTGTTGAAGGATGGTTGGTTCCATAGTTTAGCTATTGTGAGTTCAGCTGCTATAAACACTGATGTGGCTGTGTCACTGTAGTATGCCTCAGTTTAGGTATAAACTGAGGAGTGGGATAGCTGGATCAAATAGTGGTTCCATTCCAAGTTTTCTGAGGAATCTCCATATCACATAATGGTTGCTCCCATTTGCAGTCACACCAGCAATGTATGAGTGTACCTTTTCCCCCATATCCTCATCAAGATTTATTGTTGCTTGTATCCTTGATAATTGCCATCTGACTGGAGTGGGATAAAATCTTAAAGTAGTTTTGATATGCATTTCTCTAATTGCTAGAGATGTTGAAAATTTTTTCATATATTTTTTGATTGATTGTATTCCTTCTTCTGTGAAGTGTCTGTTCTGTCCTTAGCCATTTTGTTGATTGAATTATTTGTTCTTTTGGTGTTGAGTTTTTTGAGTTCTTTATATATCCTGGATATTAGCGCTGTATCTGAGGTGTGTGTGGTAAAATTTTTCCCCCATTCTATAGTCTCTCTCTTCGCATTATTGATTGTTTCCTTTGCTGAGAAGAGTAAGAATGTTTTTGTGGATGATTTTTGTGAGGTCTCGGAAGCCCCCATTTGTTCTTAATTTACTAAAGGTCTTACAGTGTCTTTGTTGAATTTTTTTCAGGCACTTATCAAATTTATATAGGTATTTTAAGCTGAACACTTCATTTAAAACACTGATTTCTGCTGCATTCCACTAGTTTTGATATGTAGTATTTGTCATTATTCTTATTCTAATATCTAAAAATGTTCAATATTGTTTTTGAACCTGTGAGTATTTAACAGTGTTTTAAAATGTCCAAATATGTAGGAATTTAAACTCATTTTTTTCAATTAACTTACTCAATTGCACTGTGATTAGAGCTAATAGTCTATGTGATACCTTTTCTTTGAAATTTAGTGAGGGTTGCTTTGTGGACTAGTACATGATTATACATATAACATAATCAAAGTCCACCTGTAGATCCTACTATACCCCTCATGTGTGGGGCAGGTACCTTATAGCAGATAATTCACATTTCCTGTCTCCCATCCCTGTGGCATTGCTTTGATTCAAAAGCTGTAATCACCCAATACATTTTTACTCTTATTGCTTTAACAGATTGTTATCTTTTAATGCAATTAAAAATTAGAAAAATAAGAAAAGATTTTGTTCTACTTCATTTGTTCTTTCGTTGCCATTCTTCGGTTGTTCATGTATCTACACAGACTTCTAAGTCTCCGACCTGAACAACTGGTTTCATTGTCTCACATGGTGCTCTGGCAGGCAGCTTCAGTGTTTGTCTGTCTCAAGAGTCTTCCTCCTTTACTGTTGTAGAGGGAGGGAGTGTAATAAACATACAACAGAAATCTGCCCATTTAAAATGTTCAATTCAGTGTTTTTAGCATGTTAACAAAGTTGCGCCACCATCAACACATTTAATTCCGGAATATTTTCATCTTCCCCTAAACAAATGCCAGACCCACTAGCAGTCACTTCCAATCCCCTCTTCCTCATTCCCTCACAACCACTGTTCTGCTTTTTCATTATGGATTTGCTTATGCTGAGCATATTGTGTAAATTGAATCGTGCATTAAATGGCATTTTTAAATTTGGCTTCTTTCACTTAGCATAGCATTTTAAGGTCAGTCCACATTCCCATACATCTCAGTACTCCATTCTTTTTATGACTGCATAATATTCCATTGCATAGATATACCACATTTTATTTATCCACTCATCAGCTGATGAATATTTGAATCATATCTAGTATTGGCTATTACAAGTAGTGTTACTGTGTACTTTTATGTTCAAGTTTCTGTGTGGACATGTTTTTAGTTCTCTTGGGCATATCTCTAGGAGTGGGATTGTTGGGTCCTACAGTAACTTATGTTTTACTTTTGAGAAACTGCCAGATTGTTTCCAAAGTGACTGGACTGTCTTATATTCACATCAACAATGTATGAGGGTTTCAGTTTCTCCATCATTTATTATTGCCTATCTTTTTTATTATAGTTGTTATTCCAGTATGTGTGATATGATATCTCATTGTGGTTTTGATTCACATTTCTCTAATAATTAATAATATCAAGCATCTTGTAAGTACCTGTTACTCATTTATATCTCTTTTTTGAAGATATGTCTATTTAGATCCTTCACCCATTTAAGAATTTTTTTTTTAAATTGTTGAGTTATAAGAGTTCATTGTATATTCTGGAGACTAGACCTTTATTAGATATGTGATTCACAAAGTTTTCTCCCATTCTGTGGTTGTCTTTTTCATCTTCTTAATAATATCCTTTGAAATACAGAGTTTTGATATATATATATATATATATATATATATATATATATATATATTTAGTTTCAAAGAGTGATTTTGCTGAGAATAGAATTCTAATTTGTTTTCTTTCCTCTTCCAACTCTTCAAAGATTTTACTCCACTTTCCTCTTGCTTGCATTGTTTCTGACTAGAAATCTGCTATAATTCTTATCTTTGTTTCTCCATGGATAAGAGTATTTTAAAAAAATACTTTATGAGCTAAGTCCTGAAATCATGGAGGAGAAATATTCAGAAAAGTGTAAAAGCATTGCCAAGTGCAGTATTTTCAGGCCATTTTGGTAGAAATTTAAGCTGGAATATATTTCTGAAGCTTTGTGAAAATAAGTTCTTTAAATTTGCCTTTTGAGCATATTAAAGTGTATTGTTTGATAAGAAGTTTTCTTTAATATTCTCATGTTCATTCATACTCATTCCCTCAGCTCCACTTTTGTAGGCAATTACGAGTCTGAGATTAAAGAAAATTGCATTTTTGTTTATTATTTTAATTGGATTTCCTGACCAAATATTTTTCTTTTAATTGTAACAGTTTTGAGAATTTTTTCTTTTTTTTTTTTTTTTTAAAAAAAACTTTGGATATTTTTCATTTTTTCTTGTATTTAAAATTAATTTGTTGACTAAGCAACATATTACATAGTTCAAAATTCATGAGTTATTTAAGAATATTAACCTAAATGTTTTTCTTACATACTTGTCTCTCAGTCATGTAGTTCTGTCTCTGGATGAAACTCATGTTATTAGATTCATGCATGTACTTTCAGAGAGATTTGATACAAGCAAATATCTGTATATGTTTACATATATGTGAGTGTATTTAAACATATACCTGCACAGAAGCATACATGTTCATGTACATTAGTACATTTTTAAATATGTTCTAGCAAATATGCCTAAACACATATAAGTCTCTTTTAGAATTCTTTATAATTCACATGTAAATAGATAAAGTGTGCTGTTCTATCCTTGCATTTTTACTTAATATATCTCAGAAATCAATTTATGTCAGTATTACCAGAAAATCTTTCTTATAATTTTTCACACTTTCATGATATGGTATAAATGTACAAAAATGCATTTTTGATAGATATTTAGATTGTAACTAATGCTGCAAACCAAGTATGGTGCCTCACAACTGTAATCCCATCTACCTGGGAGGCTGAGGCAGGAGGTTCAAGGTCCACCTGGGCAACTTAGCCAGACCTTGTCTTCAGATCAAAAGTAAAAAGAGGGGGTGCCCTCAGTGGTAGAGTGCACCTGGGTTCAACCCCAAGTACTGAAAACAAAAACCCAGACAACAACACTACACTGCAGTGAGTGACATTTTTTTGCATATAATTTGGCACATGTGTGAACATATCTAGAAGATAAATTCCTTGACTTGGAATTTCTGGACCACAAATGTACGTGTACTTATAATTTTGTGGATATTGCCAAATGCTCTTATGTAAATGATTTATCAATGTTAGCTATATTCAAAAGTGCCATTTTCCCACATCCTTATCTACATAATTAGTTATGGATGATTGGTTTTGAAATAGTTTCATGTGGTATTGTTCAGGACTTTTCCCTCAAGACTTCATAAATTATTAATTGCTTTTAGACTGCTGCTGATTTCTGTGGAGTCCCCAGTTGTGGTTATTGATATATATTTGCTGTCAGTTTTATTTTGGGCAAACTCAGAGGCTCCATTACAACCACAGTTAGATGGTTTTAAATTTTATCCATAATTTGCATTTTTTTAACCAGTTTCAGGTGTGTGTGTGGGGGGGTGTGTGTGGTGTGTGTGTGTTTTAAAACAGTGTTTATCTATGTTTTTAAGAAAAATATAATTTAAAGTTTATTATATGATGAGAAATTAACTGAAGTATGATTTTAAAATAACAAGCAGAATTTTTCCTTCTTTTAACTTAAAAATATTCCCCTCTGGTCAAAACAGAACCAATGAGCAAGATCTTACATTATGTGTTATTTGAGGACTTTTAGTGATCAAAAATTTTAAAAAGATATGTCAAAATACAAACACACGTACACTCTCTCACTAGGAAACAAGCTAATTTTTTAAGAATCTGAATGTTCAAGTTTCAAGGCCAAAGAAAAGATCTCTTCTCCACTTTGAGATAATTGCCATCAAATGTGCTTCAGTTTCCCTAGTAACAATAAGACATACCAAATATTTAAATCATTTGCTGCATAGCAAAATTTCCTAATGCTCAGACATTCATGTGATACAGCAAATTAGCTCATGTGGAAAAACAGGAGTTGGAGTTTTGCTTGTGTGCACATAAGACAGAACCTTTTAAAAACTCATAATAGGTTGGGATTGTAGCTCAGTGGTAGAGCACTTGTCTAGCATGTGCACGGCCCTGGGTTTGATACCCAGTACCACACACACACACACACACCAAAAAAAATTCTTTAAACCTCCCAAATCTTTTATTAAAATAGATACACTAAGAATATGTGCCATATTTATTCAGTGGTTACCCATTCCTTAGGAGTATCACAGCACCCCATGGGAAATGCATACACCCCAGTTTGTACTTTCTCAAGCTGACCCAGCATAGCCATAGAAATATTGTTTCTGATTGATATTCAGATCTGCAGCCTCGATCTGTTAGTGGAGGAAAATACAAAGAAAAGGGATGACATTAGTTGGCATTATTTCAGGCACTGTTGGAAAAGAAGAGCAAAGGTCTGGAACCAAAGAAACCTCTGCGCCTCCTTCAAAGAAACCCCATACCTGAGCCTCGGCTTCCAACTCCAACCTTGGAAATGAGTTCCAATGTAAGTTTGAAACTTTTATTTGAAATGCAGAATTCAGTATTGTAATCAGTTCATTTCAGGATAGTTTGGGTTGGAAACAAATCTAATTTAACAGTGTTAGTTTCTCAATCTCTGATTTTTTAAATTGATATTACATATTTATTAAGGCAAGGAACTATACAGAAAAAACACATTTGTTCTGTCAGTCTCTGATTTAAAGTTGATTTTATTTTTTAAAATTTATTTCATTTATTTATCTTTATTTATTTTACTCTTATATACTAAGCATCAGCTACACATAAAACTAAGCATAGTGAATGAAGTGAAATAAACCCAGTCTTTTTCAAGAATAAAATCAGAAAGAATGAAAGCTCTTCTGATGAAAATAGGAATCAGAAGGTAATCTTTCACATGCCAAGTTGAAAAAGAAGATTGAGAGATGATCAGTTACCCTACTGTCTCTCTTCCCACGTGAGTGGCCGAGGACTGTGGGAGTCAAGGAGGAAGGAAATGCTACAGATATCCTAGGGACAGACGGGCTTCTGGACGAGTCTCCCTAACCAGGGCTACTTCTCATTAAACTCAACTTGGGCAAGATACCACAGTTGGTTAAAAAAAACTGCTAGAGATGCCACAGTGCAAAGTTATTTATTGAGAGAAACAGAACTGCCAGGTAGATTGGGCTCTCTCTCTGCCTGGCCAGCACAGAATCTCTGCGTGGAGGGCAAGTCCCCACAAAATGTCCACCTGTGTTCAGAAGGTGTGCTACATCAGGGTAGGGTTGACAAGAGATCTCATGAATGCCTGTCACCACCTGTGATGACCTGTGTGGCCTCCATGGAGGGACTGAAACACTCCCACTGACTGGCCCCTTTCTGGACGTCATGCAGGCCTTTGGTTGCACATCTTTGGGCTCTAGGTGTTTGTGCTCCCATCAGGCTGTTACTTTCTTTGACACTGAAAGGCACCTTGGTTAGATTTCCAGATCCTGATCTTTCTGCTTTTTGCACAGAATTATTTAAGGTGATTTTTGTAGATTAACTTATGCAGTATATTCTGAAATTTACCAGTTTAGCTAAATTCCTGTGAGAAGTACCTCCCTGCAACATGGACAACAGAGTTGTATTCTTTACTAGCTCATGATCAAACATGAAAATACTATGCTGAAAGGTTGATTCATGTTGCTTCAAGAAAGTTTTTTTTTTTTTTTTCTTTTGGAAATGGCATCATTTGAAGGGACAGCATGGTAGTCTTATCATTTTGGGGCTTTAATATGATCTGGTAATGATGTTTATGATGAAAAAAGAATAATGTTAATGATACATTAAGTAACATTGTTTGAAGTACTACATATTCAATGAGGGCAGAGACTGTGCTTTATTTCTCTTTAAATCCTTCTGGCATCTAGCATCATTTCTTGCTTGAAATAAATCTTCAAAAAATATTTGATGCTTGGACTGCTGCTCTTCTCAAGCTGCTTGGTTCTTCTCCCTTTGTTCTTTCAGGAAGAAGAAGACATAGAAATGGCTGTGATCTACCTTCAAAGCTTACTCCGGGGTAGAGTCGTTCAGAACATGGTGTGTAGGTCCAACTACAGGCCCTGTGTTTCTCCTTTGAGAATGAGACTTTTAGAATGCATATGTGCTTGGTTTGTTGGAGTGAATTCCCTCTTGCATCCTGCTACCCCGTTCAGCTGTCTTTTAATTCACCTACCCATCTCCTTCTAGTGCTGTTGTTTGTCCAGGTGGGTGACACAGTGTTAAGGAGTGGAAGGACATGACTACTTCTTGCCACAGTTGTAAATAAGGCAGTGTGAAACTTATTTCATCCCTTGAATTACTTATTCAATGAAATTTCTCACCTGAATTTTGACTGTTAAAGTATTACAAATTAAATGGCTTCCCTAATTTTCCACTGACTCATAACAGTTATTTGAATTTGCGTAGTTAACTATACCTGCATTATAAATGACATAGCTCATAGTGATAACTCCCCTTTTAAACTTGTTTCAGTCATTTTTTTATTGCTCTGACCAAAAGACCAATCAAGAACTACATAGAGGAGGCAAGGTATATTTGGGGCTCATGGTTTTATAGGTCTCAGTCCATAGACAGCCGACTCTGTTGCTTTGGGCCCCAGGTAAGGCAGACCATCATGGCAGAAAACTGTGGAGGAAGAAAGCAGCTCAGAACATGGAACCAGGCAGCAGAGAGAGACAGAGAGAGACAGAGACAGAGACAGAGAGACGGGGAGGAACAGAGACAGAGATGAGACAGAAAGAGATAAAGAGAATGAGCTCCCCTCATCATAGACAAAATATAAACCCCAAAGGCCCGCCCTCAATGACCCACCTCCTCCAGCCACAACCTACCTGCCTACAGTTACCTCCCAGTTAATCCCCATCAAGACATTGATGCACTGATTAGGTTAAGGCTTTCATAACTCAATCATTTCATTCTAAACTTTCTTGCATTGTCTCACACATGAGCTTTTGGGGTCACCTAGTATCTAAACTATAACAGAACCCTTATTATATTCTGACATTGTATATTTTTTGTTCTGTTTTTGTTTGTTTGTTTTTCTATTAGGAATCTCATTTTACAGTCAAGTAATCTGAGTTTGAGATCGGGTTAGTTCCCTACCAGCCAGTTCACAACTCTGGTCTTCCTGACTGTAAAGGCTTAGCCAGATTATTGTGCAGCTGGAGCAGGCACACTTTACCTTAAAAAAAAAAATAGGCTGATTTAAAGCTCCAGATAATTTTACCCCTAAAGAACTTTGATCCATGGAGTAACTTCAGGGAAGCTGTATGAGGGAGTGGTCTTGCATTCCATCGTATTCTTTACTCTCCCTTCAGTACTTCCCAGGAGGAGTGCTCCAGGTAAATTCACACTGCAGCCTGTCTTACAAATCAAGGGCACATTTTTGGAAATGAAAACATGACCATGAAAAATGCTGCCCCCAGGTTTCTTAGGGAAGGAGCAACTGAAGTTGAGGGGAAGGCTCTAGTTTCTTACTGTGACCCTATATTTGTCACCTTGTCTTGCTTGCCTTTCTCTGTTTGAGCCCCTGAAGCATTGAAAAGGGAACCAAATTCTAGCTCTGTGGATCCCATCAGCCCAAAAGCCAGGAAAGAACTCTCTGCTCACAAGTTCTTCACATTTGTGAAGCTCCTAGTGCTGGGAAAAAAGGGATGGTAACCTGCCAGCTTGTCTTTGATTTGATTTACCACAGATGTTTGAAGGAAAAGAAAAGCGACTGGAGTTGATCCAGGAGCTGCGCACCAGCCACGCACTCCAAGAGGATGAAAAACTGGTAAAGAAAGCCGAGAAGCAAGTGACCCTGGCCTTACAACGGCAGAGAAACTTGCACGAGCACAAGGTTCTTCCTTTTCTTTCTTGTTTTTATTATTGCACAAGTGATATTTTAATAATAATAAATGAAATGTTACAGAATATCCCCTACCACTCTCTCAGCATTTTAAACAATGTTGTTGTAGTTGATAATTTGGGATTATGCTCTCACTGAATTGAATATGGTATTTTTATCTTTATTTGCAAAAAAAGAAAGAAAGGGAGAAAGGGGGAGCGGGGGTAAGGAGAGAGAAGATAAATTCCTAAAACAAAGACAAATGCACTTTTTTCAACTTAAAGATTTTTTTCTTTCCTAAATATTGGTAACTACTGTATTTTAGTTGGTGAGGACCAAACAGAATACATAATAAAAACAACATGAAAAAAGTGAGAAATGGGATTTTAAAATATCAGCACTTATTTTTGCATTTTGTAGCCATATACAGCACATGCTGGTTAAATATGTAACTACCTACTATGGTATTTGGTGACTTTCATCTGACCTGTCTCTCTGACACCTGACACAGCTAAGAACTGCAGCTCTAAACCAACAACTGTCAATTTTTTTCTGTTCTCTTCAGTGTTTGTCTATATACACAGTTTTTAATGTCATTGACTTTAATATAGATGCACTTAATTCCCTTTCCCACTTACCTCTGAATCAATCTGAGAATCAATTTGCAAAGTTTAGTGTGGTAAGACTAAAGTTTCTTGTAAGCCAAGTTAACTTGACCCACCCTAGTAATGTACATAACTCTTGTGCTGTGTGGGAATTGAGCACAAATGGCAAACAGTTTGGAAGTGACCACAACTCTACTTCTTTTATATGACATTGGTGCCATAAATGGTTACTGAGCTTGGGAGAGCAGGTGAGGGGATTGGGAGGGAGGAAGTAAGAAAGTCACAAGCTGTGAGACCTCACAAAGGGACCAGAGAAAGACAAGGAGAATGTGGACACTGGAGCATCTGAATCGGGAGATCCTTGAGTCCTAGAAATATCCAGACATGAGTGCACCAAATCCTGAGACTCTGGGTGGGAAAATGGCCTCTTGGCCCTTCATGGTTTTTGATAATGGTGGACTTCCACAGAGGCAGCTAAGCCAATGGGCTTGTCAATTAATTTTCCCCATTTGGTGGATATATACATGGCTGATGAAGTCAGCTGAGAGTGAAGGGAGGCATTCATGGGGAAAGCTGTCACTTAGCCAAGGGCCACTTACAGTCAGCTATACTAGGGAGATATATACCACTGATCTGCAGGGGCCCAAGGGAAGAGCACCTCACATATACCCTTTCCTCCTTCTCTTTCTGGAAAGCTGTCCAGAAAATACACAATTCCCAGTTGTGTGATACATTACATGCTATAACCACAGCAGAATCACTTTCTTAAATATTTTTTACTTAATTTCATATTAGATTGTTCTACCTGAGCATACTCAAATTCTTGCTGAAGAAGGAGGCCAGACATGAACAGATAGCCATCTTAGGACCTTAATGATTGCATCTGCCTCCAGATGAGAGAGCTTATGTTTCTTGGAGACCCAGAATTTATTTGTGACCTCTGGGCTGAATGTTCAGTGGTTATGAATGAAGTAGTGAAATGTTCTAGTTATGTCTTTTCTTACCTTCACTCCCTCATGTAGCTCAAATTTCAACTAAGTGAAGTTGAACTTTGAGGTACAAGGTACGTATAGGCTAGGAGGTGGGTGAGGATGGGGATGTTAGGGCCAACAGCTACATTTGACTGACAGTCTCACCCATAGCCACATTGCCTTTGAGACCTGTGAGTATTCTTTCCCACAGATACAAACCAGGAGGGGAGCTGAGCAGAGAGAAAACTGTAAACATTAAGGCAGCTATGGCTGGAAGAAGAACACTTTCCCCTTCTACCTGAGGACCAGGGAGGGAGCAGGATGAAGTTACACAGGATAACTCATCTTAAACACTTTCTTCTCTGTGTGTCAAAACCAGGACCTGGTAAATAGGTACTGTGGGCACTCTGGCTTCCTCTGGCCAGAAGCTCCATGGTCCCTTGTTCTACCTCAGTAATCACACAGACATTCAGGCCTTTCCCTGGGCTGTTTCAAAGACGGTTGTTAATGGCTTTGAAGTTATTAAAAAGACTAAAAAGTACCAAAGTTTTCTACTTTCATCTTATCTGAGATCTTAAAACTCCTCAAACTTGTGTGAAAGGATCAGACATTTAAAAATTAAAAGGTATCAGGAGGGAATTTCTAGGAGATTCTATTTTGTTACACTCCAGTTTTAATAAGAACTTTGACATTTCCCTTCATGTCTGGGAAGATATACTTGCCCTTCTGAATCAAATTGAAAGGAAAAATACATTTTGTGTGGTTGCTAACAGAAATGTTTCCTAAATCCTCTTCATAATCCAAGGACTGTGATCCATCAGTGACTGACAGAACAATCTACTTTCTCTGTCTGAGTCTATAATAAGTTTTCATAGTAAGGACGCTTGGGATGGGGTCCATTGAGAGATAACATTCCTAATAGAAACCAACTGCCTTTGAACAGTGAAGTGACTGTCAGAGTTCCGAGTAAACCAGCACTTCTGATAACCACATTCATAGTGGAATTTGTTGTATTATTATTTTTAAATAATAAAGTTGTATTATTACTTTTAAGGTGTCACTGGTTGAAAACCATTTGGCTGGGCTTGAAGGAAGGGCTCTAGCTGACATGCTAGACTTCCTGTCCAAAGAGCTGGTGAGACTACAGGAAGAGAGGAGGATCCATGCCTTTGCCATGTTGGCAGAGCGTCAGCGGAGGATGCGAGAAGCCGAAGAGAGTGGTCGTCGCCAGGTGGAACAAAGGCGCCTGCGTGAGGAGGACGAGATATTTAAGGAGGCAAGTAGGGGAAGCCCAGGGCATGGAAATCCCCCGGAAACAGCAAAGTTACACCAAAGCACTCCCATGACAAGAAATGGCATTGGGTTTTTTTGTTTTTCGTTTTATTCAGCAAATATATACTGGGTTCCTGCTATATGCCAGGAATTGTGCAAAGACACTGTGGGGTATTTTGGAGGACAAAAGGCAGACAAAGGCCCTTTTCCCTGGAAGTTGAGAAACATAAAACATGCATATAAGTGTAGAATTAGAAAAATGCAGCAGTTCCATGAAGGAAGAAAATGGAGCCCAGTGACACATTTTAAAGAGGTTACTCTCTTGTTGAATGGAGAAGAGGTGGGAGGAAGGACAGAGTGGGAACAGAGAGACTGGGAAGGAAGCTGTTGAAGTAGTGAAGCCTGAGGAAGAAACAGAAATCAAGTATAGTGCCCAGTTTAGGGCTCAAGCAACTGAAAGGTGATGGTCCTCTTTTCTGAGGTAGGTGAGTTGAGAGAATAAGTTTAGGGGTAGAATCAGGACTTCAATTTAAATTTGCTCAGGACAGCTGAATGGAGTTATTTTAATAGCTGCATATATAAGATATAAAGAATCCTTAAATACAATCACACTTTTGCAGGTACATACAGAAAAAAATTCACAAAAAAATAACCCATTGTGCACAATTAGCAAATACAAGGAGGAGCACACATGGACACATACATAGCCATCTGTGTTTCTTTATTCACTCATACACTTACAAGCACAACGTGTCCAGAAACGTACCTATTTATAAAGACACACAAGAACATATATTATTGTGAGAAGAGCACACACCTTTCTACTTTTTTATGATCCAGCTGTCTGTTCCATATAGGTGTGACTTGCTTCCTCTATGAGAGCAAGCTATTGTATATTTGCTCTGTGCCTTCTCTAACAATAGCATAGATTCCCGGACCTACTAGACATTGAGCAAATACATTTTGGTTAGTTGGTCATTTGGTTGATACTATACTGAACTGTCACTGAGATACTCCCGTAGGGAAGGCCTAAGGGTTCAAAGTTGGTGTCATATAGGTACATGTTCAGTATCACATACTCAAACTTGTGCTGCAGTGCCTGTCAAGAAACAGGTCCTGGGTTGTTACTGAGTCCTAGGCATTATCTCAATTCCAAAGAAATATCCAGACATGAAATAGAAAACTGCCCTGTCTCCAAAAAAACTCACAATCCATTGAGGAGACAGAATATATAACAAAACTCAGTATGTAGCAGTTGATGCTTTCCTGTGTAAATACCTGTCAAATAGGCCAAAAGGCATTGCTTATTGTATTAGTCAGATTTTCATCACTGACAAAATTTATTTCAGTATTTCATCAAAATACCTGACAAGAACAACTTAGAGGAGGAAAAGTTTGGCTTACAGTTTCAGAGACTCAGTTCATGATTGGCTGACCTCATTGCTCTGGGCTTGAGAGGAGGCAGAACATCATGGTGGAAGGGCATAGTGGAGGAAAGCTTCAGCTCATGGCAGCCAGGAAACAGAAAGAGAGAGTGGGGAGTCAGGGACAAAATATAACCCCCAGCAGCACTCCCCCAGTGACCTACTTTCTCCAGTCATGCCCCAAGTACTGACAATTACCATCCAGTAATACATTCAAATTATTAATCCACCATGTGGATTAATCCACTGATGAGGTTGCAGATCTTATAATCTAACTATTTCACTTCTGAATATTCCTGAATTAACACATAAGTATTTTTGGGACTCCTCATAACCAAACCATACACTTATGGTTGCGTGCTTAGGGAGTAAAATTACAAAGCATAGTAGGTGTTTACTAGGACAGTCATTGAAATGAAAAGGGTCTGCAGTCATGTCCTTCTGAGGTACTAGCTGTGACTACATCGACGCTGGCCTAACTCACTGTATTGTACCTATGTGTACTCTGCACATTTTAAAATCTGTACTCCATTTCAAGATTTCAAGAAAATTTTAAAAAGAAGGAACCCAAGAATGTTGGGATAGTTCAGTAAGTTCTTCAGAGACACAAGATCCTCCCATCTTTCTGTTATTTGCCCCCTAGTTTATGGCCCATGTAGCAATTTAAGGTGACTACCTATGTACCAGCATTATGTCCCCATGAAATAAGAAAGAAAAAAAGAAGATAGAACTTTCCCTTTAAGAACTGTTTTTGGAAGTCACACACATAACTTCTGCATATATTGTCTTAGTTAGAATTTTATCATATGGCCGTGTCCAGTTCCTATGGGTGTTAGGAAATGAAGTCTTTATTCTAGGTACCTGTTTGCCCAGCTGAAATCCAGAGGTTATGTTATTTAAGAGGAAAAACAGAAAGGATATAGGGAAATGTGCTAGCCTCTACTACAGTTAGATAGGTAGGTTGGCCATGTCACGCTGTTGATAAAGACAAAGGCAGAAACCAAACCAGGGTTATTGCGCTGAAGCCTATGATCTTCATGTGGTGCTATATTACCCACCCCCCAAGTAAGAGACATATTTCTTAATGGGTAGGGGTGAATGAGAAACAGAAGGAACTATTGACTTAATGAATGAAATACATGTGCTAGAAAACCATCAACCAATGTTTGTCTATTTTTTTGGTCTTTTTTTTATAATAGCTATTGTTTGTAAATAGGTATACTTTTGCTCTTTGCAGGTGGTTAAAGTTCATCAAAGTACTGTATCCTCATATCTGGAAGACATAATACTGAGTACTGAAGAGAATACTGCAGAAGAACAGGCCAGAAAAGAAATTGAGAAGATGGCTGAGGAAATCAGTGACATTGCTTATGAAATGGAAAACCGGTATGCACCAAGAGATTATAGAATGGACAGTCCATTTGCTGGTACTCATGTAATTTTTCAGGAGCTTAAGATTTTGCCACCAAGGAGAAACAAATATATAATTTGTGCTTCGATGTCTACTGTTTTATCATCATGACTCTTTACAAGTCAACATGACTATACCACTGTATGGTGGGAGCATTGGAATTGAATTCTCAGTTACCCTCTGTGATCTGGGTTATTTTCACACTATGTACTTTTAGAATACTCAGAAGCATGAAAACAATGTGGACATGTGTGTGTGCAACATTATTTGGATTTAATCCCAAGGTTTTGGGCTTATATTTGTAATCTGTAGTTCTAACATTTTTGTCCTACCAGGCCAATAAATGAAGGACAGGGTCAAATCCAGATTTTCCATGGAATTAAGCTCATTAGGAATGTGGTATTTCAGATGATTCAGTCAAGGAAAAGGTCATGACAGAATTTAGGCAGTGAAGTTGTTCATACATGCAAGGAAGATCTAAGTGCCATCAGCTCAAGTGAAAAACAAAGGAAATAGTTTAATTTTTTTTTTCTTTTTCAGTCGAACATATCTTCAGTCAGAGGAGATTGTTGCCGAGTTGGTTTATAGTTTTTTGATTCCAGAAGTGCAAAAAGAGTTTGTCAAAGAAAAAGGTAAATTGATACAAATGCTTCACTTTAGGATTTTTTTTTTAAATGATGTAAATTATTTTCAAAATCCCAGAGATTTAGAACTTAACAGAGATACAGGGAATTTCTGAAGATGCACTGTTTTCTTGTTTCAGAACTCAATAAATTCTTTTCCTGTTGTCTGACTGCAGAGTTTAGTCACTTGTCATAGAGATAGGATACAGTTCTAACAAGCTTGACAGAGTATCAAGATCCAGCTTTCTTTAAAAGGAGATTCCTAGTTCCAAGAAGTGTATTCTATGGCTCAAACTGTGATGGCCTTTTGTAGCAGGGAAATATAAACTATGGGTATTAAAAACTGGGGGTGCCCAAAAGGTCTGTATCTATTCTGCTACTCTGCCTGAGAGTATTACACTTAGATACTGTAGATACTGCCTGAGAGTATTACACTTAGATACTGTATTTCTTCTGGACCTGTACCTAAATATAAATGTCCCAATTTATCATATTCAAAAGTGGCATATTTGGGGGCTGGGGTTGTGGCTCTGTGGTAGAGCTCTTGCCTAGCATGTGTGAGGCACTGGATTCGATCCTCAGCACTACATAAAAATAAATAAATAAAATAAAGGTATTGTGTCCAACTACAGCTAAAAAAAAAAAGAAAAGTAAAAGATTCTTCCAGAACTATGAGACTATTGGTGAGACGCCCGATCCTAGAGAGAGGGCTGCAATCAGGACAAGACCAATATTCAAGTGAAATAGCAATGCAGAAGCTTTTGGGATTATGAAGGGAACTTCTGGACAGATTTAAAGCAGAAAACTGTGCAATATTTGATTGCTTAATCAAGGATAGAGAGAATGGTAGAGGTCTAACACATCAGGACAAAGAGTCACCATATTTTCCTTCCTACATGGTTGTTGTGTAATTTTAAAAGCAGTCCTCTCTAGTGATAGGCACTCAATGTTTCCAGTGTGGCTCTCTATTACTAACAGCGCTGCAACCAGTATATTTTATATGTTTCCTGGCCATGCTTCTGAGAGTCAATTCCTAGTGGTACAACTACTGGGAAACAGGGTACATGCATTTCGATAGATTCTACATAACTGTCCCACAAAAGGAGTGTTCTAATTTCTACTCCCAGCAACGGTTATGATAGTGCCATATCTATCTTCATAGTGTATGAAGTTTAATTTTCAGACCAAGTAATGTGTATTTCTGTATCATCTTACATTATAAAAGGGACCTTAGGTTTTCTAGATTCTTAAGAAAATATATAACTCATTTCTACTTCACCCAGGTCCAAAGTGAGATCAGCCTGTTCAGAGCCATTCTACTTGGAGGAATTCAAGGACACAGGGAAAGAGTGGGTTTAATATTTACTAGTTTGAGATCCCCTCCTGCACCTCCTCCTAGGGATGAGGGAAAGATTTGGAGGAGGAACTTGAATGGAGGAAATGCTGTGGGCAAGTTGCCCAAGTCCTTAGTCTCTTCCCTATATGTTTATGCCAAATCGAAAAAAGCCAAATGGACAGTGAGTGTATACTAGGAACCTGTTTCTTCTTTCAAATAAGAGATTATTTATGCTCCTTACCAAATGTGTTAAATATTATGTTTACCAAAAGTCAAGGTACTATTATATAAAGGCCATGTTGAGATATTTCACTCTTAAAAAAGCTGATAAAATCAGAAAGACCTTAAAGAGATATGTATATAGATGTAAAATAACAGTAACTGTGACATTTTAAATGCATGCTAAGTTACAAAAAGCAGTGTACTAAGCATTTGAAAATGTATATTATCTCAATTTCTTGCAACAGCTGTGAAGGTATTCTAATTTTTCATGTGTTTGGAAACACATGACTTGCAGAGTTGAATCATGGTCTGTATGGCTCCAAAGCACCCACTCCTTTGGCCATACTACTGTGAAGTGTAGTAAAACTGCTGAATGAATTACCCTATATAAAGTAGCTGATACCTAAATAGCAAAAAATCCATAGTACTTCTTACTGTCCTGTGCTAGCAGTATGACTTTGGATAAAGTAACTAATCTGTCTGTGTCTATGTTTCTTCTGAAAAAGGAGGATATTAATAATATTCTCTTTTACAATTGTGGGAAAATTAAATGACTACTCATATGTCAATTTCTTAAAATAGTGCCTAGCAAAAAGTAAGGAAAAAGGCTAACTGCTAACATCATTGTCATTATCATCAACATCAACACCTCTGACCTTTCCAAAGGCCTAGGTGCTTATCATTATCTATACTAAGCCCTGATTACAAATATTCTTAGAATTTGGAGCTGGGATCACCTTCTATAGTCATGAGCCCAGACATTTATTATTAATAAGCAAAACTCCACATAGGAATTAAGGTTCAAAGAGAAGTGTGAGACAAGAGTCTCATTAAGACTAATCAATCATTTATAATGTTAGAAGAAAAGAAAATGTAACTCAAATGAAGTGCTTCAATGTTGATACAAATGCAATTGTGGGAAATGGCAAAAAAAAGTCTGACCTAATCAGAGCAGACTTCCTGGGGGAGCTGGTACTTGAGCTGGGTTTTGCAGAAGGTTAGGGTTTGGAGTGCAGTCTTTCCAAGTGAGAAAAGCTATGGAGGTATGACGTGGAGGCAAGTCTGCAGGGGAGGAAATGACAACTGAATTAAGAATGTGAATAGAGGGAACAGCAACAAATAAGGGATGGGTTTGCTTTACCTTTTACTTAGGAAGATGTCCTTTTAAAACAGAGAGCAGAGCATTGTTAGTAAGCCCAATCAGCCCTAAGTCAGAAAATATGTGATTCACAAAGTGATCATTTTTGTCGCTACTCTCTTGAAAACATTTGGGAATGGTTTCATTCAGACTTTCAGAGAAAAAATTCTTCTGTCCCTTTTGCTCAGTGAGGAATGCACAGCGGAAACATATTCTTGCAGCCCATCAGATCATCCATCAGCACACAGAAGCCATGGTCCAGCGGAAATTTGTTGAGCGACCAAAAGATGAGGTCTCAAATGCTGACAAGTTACCCGAGGAAGGAACTCAAAATAAGAACAGCAGCTAAGGTGAGTTTGATTTTTCCATTTGGAAAAAGCAGAGGAGGAGCATCGTTCAGCATTGTGTTGTGCTCTAACAAGCACAGTGTGAATAGATTGTCCATTGTTTAAGAAAATAAAGAGCTTCCATTTAAATTGGCACATTTCATCTAGGTTATAGTACCTACTGGCTGCAATTATTACAGTTATTATGACAGAATTTGTACTCTTGCAATCTAAAAAACAGGCCTCTAAATTCTTTTGTGGGTTCTTTTAACATGTAACTATACTTTATCACAAATAAAGTTACAGAACATGTAAGGGTTGTCTTTAAAAGCTTCTTCTGATGGAGAGGGGCGTGCTGTACCCTAATGCACCATGCTAACTGTAAGCACAGCACAAGGCATGGAGCCTGCCCAGTTCAGCCACTTCTGCAGTGTCTGCCAGGAGTCAGAATGAGCCTCAATTAAACATTCATACTCAGAAGACTAACTCAGGCCTCATTCGGTTGATTCTACACAGCAGAATATAAGAAAGGAAACAGCTTCCAGCAGGGCAACAGCAGACACTTCTCCTCCTGTAGTTCCCGCCATACCCACACACCTCTGTTTTATTTATATTTTATTAACATGCCTATTTTATTTAGTCCCCAGGTTACGAGCTCAGGTACAAGAAAAAAGAGATTCAGGTTGTGGGGACAGGAACTGCCTTAGCTTATAAGCTTCATGAGGGTGGGGGTGGGGCAGGGACAGACTCAAAAGTCAATTGAAGAACAAAAAGAGTCAAGTGATATTTTCAAGTGAATGTCCATTAAAATAGAAGGATATTTGGAATAAGTCTGAGTGTGTGCTTATTTACATGGTTACTAAATAAAATATAACAAGTACACAGGTACATCTCTATTGTTGTCATGGAGGCTCCATGTTAAGGTAATTGCTTTGTTCATCTTGACCATCTAAAAAATTTTTCTTTGTTTTGAATATTTGTAAGGTTTTTAAAAGTTAGCGTCAGTAAACTAATTGAAGCTATTCTTCTCTACTGGGACACATTTAAATTACTGAGTGTAGTACTGCTGCTGTTTGTTTTTCTTAGTTTAAAATGTAGGACTTGGTGTTTTAAAGGTTATTTATGGAGAAACTAAAACAGTTGCACAACTGACTGAAATAAAACACTTGGAATAAATTTAGTAGGGGGATCAGAAAGTACAAAAGTTTAACATTTTTTCTCCTAACTTTTAACAGTTGATATGCCCTGCTTTAGTCTCTAAGAATTCTCACTACATACTATGTCCAGATTATAAAATACTTATTTTTAAAATGAAATCTCTATATTGACTTTCTTATCAATCATCTTATTGTACAATCAAAATTAGAGTTCTTTGGTTTGAAAACAACACATAGTGAACCTCCAGATAACTTTTAAGAACTTATTTAGCTTTGTGGGTGATATTTTCATGCAAATAAGTAAGGGGGGGATTTATATTTTGTAGAAATTTGGGATCCTATTTTAATGCTCTTTGTATTGCAGTATGTATATAGTGTGTTAAGTTCTTTAAGAATCTAGCCTTAAATTTTGAGGTTAATACTTTTGTGCAACTATGTTCTTTAATAAAGCCATGACAGTGTTAAAAACAAACAAAAAAGAGTCAAGTGAAAGTAAGTCCCATTCAAAAGGAATTATGGAAGGAAGATTGAGATAAGGGAAGAGATCTGAGAGAAAACAGATTCATGATTTTAAATGTCAATCTATGGTTGTAGATTACAGCATATAAGCTTTCGTCTTCAATTAATAATTCCTCAGGTGCACGTCCATGAAATAATATCTGAAATCAGTGAAGATCTAAACCATGTATTGAGGTATAATATCATCTATTATCTATTATCTCCTAAATATAAATTCAATGGCCAAAGCATTTTGCCAACCTTATTATTGTTAAAAAAAAAAGTAAGATAGAGGGTTGGGAATAATTTTTTGGACATGAAAGTTTAATATTAGCAATTTAAACAGTTTGAATTGAATAGATATATATTTACTTCTGATTTTGATACCTGCTCTGTGACATCCTATGGTGACCTGTGATGTCAAGTCAGAGGAGTAAAACAAAATCATCTTCTATCTACTTATTTAAAGTAAAATACATTTCATTTAAGCCTGTGTAAAGCATATATGTTAGTTATAAAAGCTAGTTGTAGCCCAGCACGTGGCTCGGGAGGCTGAGACAGGAAGATCGCAAGTTCAAAGCCAGCCTCACCAATGGTGAGCAACCCAGGGAGATCCTGCCTCTAAATAAAATACAAAAAACAGGGCTGGGGATGTGGCTCAGTGGTCAAGTGCCCCTGAGTTCAATCCTTGGTACCAAAAAAAAAAAAAGCTAGTGGTAAAAATATCTAGTTGATACTCTAATGACAAACACTCAGCAAAGATGGCCAACCAATAAATTAAATGTTGGATATGAAGCTTAACTGTCTCCAAATTATATATTTCTCCCTTTTCTTACAGGGAGGAGAGAAGGGAAGTTTTGAGATTATTTTATAATATATACAGGGAAAAGAGAAGTAGGCATGAATCACTGATTGAAAGCATATACAGAAAATAGGAGGAACTTCCTAGGGCCTAAACATGGATGCCTGAGGCATTCCCGATCCTGGAGCCTAAACATGGATGTCTGAGACACTTCTGGATTCCAGAGCCTAAACATGGATGCCTGAGGAACTTTTGAACCTGGGGGCTTAAACATGGACGTGCACCCAAGGAACTTCCGGATGCTACAGCCTAAACATGGAGGACTGAGGAACTTCCAGATCCAAGAGCCTAAACACGGATGAGCACCTGAGGAACTTCCGGACCCCGGGGGGCCTAAACATGGACGCCTGAGGCATTCTGGATCCTAGAGCCTAAACATGGATCCCTGAGGAACTTCCAGACCCGGGGGCTTAAATATGGATGTCCACCCAAAGTTCATGAACTTCCGGATCCTGGGGCTTAAACATGGACGTGCACCTGAGGAACTTCCAGATCCGGGGGCCTAAACATGGACGCCTGAAGCTCTTCCAGATCCAGGGTCTTAAATATGGACGTGCACCTGAGAATTTCCCGATGCTACGGCCTAAACATGGACGCCTGAGGCACTTCCGGATCTGAGGGCCCAAAGATGGACGTGTACCTGAGGAACTTCCGGATCCAGGGCCTAAATATGGACGCCTGAGGAACTTCCGAATCCTAGAGTCTCAACATGGACATGCAACTGAGGAACTTCCAGATCTGGGGGCCTAAACATGGACATGCGCCTGAGGAACTTCCCGATCCGGGGGCCTAAACATGGAGAACTGAGTAACTTCCGTATCCAAGAGCCCAAAGATGGACATGCACCTGAGGAACTTCCAGATCCGGGGCCTAAACATGGACGCCTGAGGCATTTCTGGATCCCAGAGCCTAAACATGGATGCCTGAGGAACTTCCGAATCCAGGGGCCTAAACATGGATGTGCACCTGAGGCACTTCCGGATGCTAAGGCCTAAACATGGATGTGGGCCCGAGGAACTTCCGGATCTGGGGGCCTAAATATGGACGTGCACCCATAGAACTTCTGGATCCAAGGGCCTAAACATGGACGTGTCCCTAGAACTTCTGGGTCCTTGTGCCTTGATCCCGCCCAGAGACAGAAAATAACCCCACACTGCCCAAGACTTATTTTTAAGCTTTGGATTCTGAAATTTTCCTGCTGCCACCTTCTTTGTGAAGCCAGTTTTTCAACAGAGACAATATTCCAGGGAGAAAAAAAAAACAAAACATGGAGTCAATCAAACCAAGCTGACATATCTGGTCCTCCAAGAGAAATCTGGATTCTCAACTGGCGAAATAATGAAGTTCCCTTGTCCTTATTTTGTGTAAGCAAAATAAAATAATCTGATGTTAATCATCAAATTATTATTATTATTTTTTTTAAATATTTATTTATTTTTTTTAGTTATCGGCAGACACAACATCTTTGTTGGTATGTGGTGCTGAGGATCGAACCCGGGCCGCACGCATGCCAGACAAGCGCACTACCGCTTGAGCCACATCCCCAGCCCCATCAAATTATTTTTGATGAGTGCTTGGCTCATAGGAAAACTGATTCTGTTTTATGGAATGAAGTGTTACCTGATTTTAAAATTTAAAATGAAGCCAATTAGAATTGTTAAATTACACTGTCATAATTCTGTTCTTTGATAGCAGAAATAAATAAACCTTTTTAAAAAAGCATATACAGAAAATATAACACATATTATATATATATTTTAAGTGACCTTGAAGGCAATGGAAAGCTAATAAAGTAGTGAAGAACTTGTGGGTCAAAATCTAGGAGAGGACATAAATTCAGAGTATTGGGTCTGGTATTTGGACCCAGTTTTTTCCTGAGTAAGTTCTAGAAAATGTGGCTGAGAAACTGAGCACTGCTTTTAAAAGCTTTACAAACTACCGGGAGAAAAACTTGAGTGAAGGGCTGGGGCTGGGGCTCAGTGGTAGCACACTTGCCTGGCATGTGTGAGGCACTGGGTTTAATTCTCAGTACCGCATATAAATAAATTTAAAATAAAACAAAAAACAAAGGTCTATCAACAAATCAAAAAATAAAAAAAAATTAAAAAAAAAACTAGAGTCAAGGTTGAGACCTGATAAACCCACTCCATCTGGGTTGGGTCTCTAAAAGTCCATGCCCTAGTAGTAAGGATGTAGGGAAGCAAGCTTTCCCTGCATGCTCTACAACTTAGCTTCTTTTGTAGATAGACACAATAACTTTATTTTATTTATTTTTTTATGTGATGCTCAGGATGGAACCCAGTGCCCACATGTGCTAGACATGCATTCTATCACTGAGCCACACCCCAGCCCAACAACTTAGCTTCTAATCATCCAATGATCCAAAATAAAAAAATTATCAATCTCTGAAATTGAATTAAGGATATTCTTGATTCTTATTATGTGAAGAAAACTGTTAGAAATAAAACTTAATTTTTATTTGGAGAAAATGAACAAGACCCTAGACC